AATACATTTGTATGGTTCAATTTATTTAAAATTCTAGAAAATAAGTACTAGTACATAGTGATAGAAAGCAATTCAGTGGTTGCCTAGTGATGGAGCAGGAAAGGATATCATTTACAAAGGCACAAAAGGAAACTTTTGGGAGTGATGGATATATTTATTATCTTGATCATAGTGGTGGTTTCAAGAGTGTAAACATATTTCAAAACTCGTCAGATTGAATGTTGTAAAAGTATAGTTTACTGTAACTCAATATTGATGTAGAAAATACAGAAAAACAATAAAATTAAAGTATTTCAAGTTCTTTTGAATTATTTTGAAGATGAGTAAAACTATTGCATTTACATTTTGATAAGTTAAACATGCAAGTTGCAATTTATAGACTAAAAGAATGGAAGAATTGAAACCAATATTGTAACTTACAAATTACTTAAAGGACAAAAATATTGGATGATTAAATAGTCACAATTAATCCGAAAACAATGTATAAATGAATTGAAATTATTCTGAAAATCTAAGACTTAACGTTCAAAAATCTGACATTCCAATTCAGTGCAAAATAATGGAGAAAATTCATCTGATTACTTAATAGTGACAGGGGAAAAAGTAGTTGATAAAATGCAGCATCCACTTATGGTTAAAAATAAAATCCACTTCTTAGTTAATTAGAAATAGAAAACTTTTTTAATCTGGTAAAGGCTATCTATGAAAAACTTATCAAAAAACACAATTGATGGTAAAATATTGATAGTTAGATTAAAATGCTGGTTCTCTCATTTTTACTGCAATTGTATTGGAGGTATTAACTACCTCCTTTCAGTAAGGCAAAGAAAGGAAATAAAATGTATGAAACTGTCAATATCCACTTTTGTAAGCTCAATACACAAAAAACCATAATTATTCCTATGTCACTCACCAATGAAAAATGACATTTTTAAATGATATACATTTATAGAAGTAGCAAAAAATGTAAAATAATAAGAAATAAATCTAATAAAATATGTTGACTCAATGAGAAACATAAGGGAACGCTTAGAAAAATGGAAAGAATTGGGTTAGAAGACTCAAATTTTTTAAAAAATAATCATTTTTCTCTGATGTATAGATCTTGTCTATTTCCCATAAAATTTCAGAAGGTGTGTTTAAAATTTGATAATCCATGTAATATGCATAGTAAAACAGGGTCAAGGATAGCGAAGATGCCTTCTCGGAACTTCAGAAACAAGTTGCTAATTAACAAACAAAATGTGTGATTCTCATAAAGCAAAATAAACAGACCAATATGACAAAGATCCCAGAAGCAAACATCAATGTGTATATGAACCTTTAATCAGTGGGCAAAAGATGAACTTTTCAATGAATGACACTGTAACATCAGTGTTTATAAGGAAAAATGAAATTCTGTCTCACTTTACACCAAAGACAAAATTGAAAAAACCCCAGAGTAGAATTTTAAAGTATCAAAATTTAGAGAGTGATGGAAGACAGTATTTTCATATGATGGAGCCCAGAGGATTTTTTCAATAAACCACTGGAGTCTAAATTATAAAGAAAAAATTATAAATTCTACATTGTTCAAATGGAGAACTTTTCATCAAAAAACTATGTAAAAATCAAAATACAAGTCACAGAATTGACAATGTATCAGTATCCTAAAATTGAATAAAATAAAAAGAACTCACAGAAGTTCATTTAAGAAATGGCTGATAACTTCCTAAATTTGGTGAAAGACATAAACCAATAGATTTGAGAAATTGAGGAAATTCAAAGTAGGAGAAATCTTAGAAAACCAAACCTAGACACATCATAATTGAAAACTAAAGACCAAATATCTATCTATCCCTATATATCTTTAGAGCAGCCAGAGAGAAACAAGAAAAATTTGAATGAATTGTATTGTAATGAAATGCAGATTTAAATGATATTTCTTGTCTGAAACCATGGAGGCCAAAAAAGAAGTGACAGAACATTTTTCAAGTATTGAAAGAAAAGAACTGCCAACTGTGAATTATATATCAGCCATAACTACCCTTCAAGAATAAAGGAGAAATAAAGACATTCTCAGATGGAGGAAGACTAAGAGAATCTGTTGCCAGTAAAATTGCTCTGATGGAATACTAAAGGAAGTTATTTACACAAAAAAAGAAATGTTGACAGAGAATGATTTGATCCAGAGTTTAGGGGGGAAGAAAAGCACATCAGTGGGCAGAAGTGAGGGTAAATATCATAGACTCTCTTGGGTTTCTGAAATCAAATTTCATAGTTGATGCAAAAATTATAATACCATCTAAGGTGTTATCTTCATTGTAGAGGAAATATTTAAGCCAATTATACTTTAAAAGTAGAAGTGGTAAAGAGACCTAATTAGAGTAACATGTCTACACGTCACTGGATGTTAGGAGACTGATAAATTATATATGTGTATTGTAAATACCTATTGTGGCACTAAGAAAACTATACAAAACACGACACTCAGAAACAATAAATAAACCATGATGGAATCTTTCAAAATATGCAAGTAACCCACAAAAGGTAAGACAAAAGGAAAGGCTTAAAAACAAAGGAAATATACAGAAAACAAATAATAAAATGGCAGACTGAGCCCTAAAGTATCAACAATTACCATAAATGTAAATAGTCTAAGTATACCAATTAAAAGATAGATATCGGTCAAGTGGATTAAGAAACATGATCCAGCCAGGTACAGTGGCACGTGCATGTAATCTCAGCTACTCTGGAGGCTGAAATAGGAGGATCACAAGTTCAAAGCCAGCCTGGGCTACTTAGTGGGATCCTATCTCAACATTTGAGAAGGACTGGGGATGTAGCTCAGTGTAAAGCAGTTGCCTTGCCTTCATGAGGCCCTTGGGTCCAATCTCCAGAACCACCAAAAAAAAATTTTTTTTTCCAGTAATATTTCATGTATAGAAAATGTACTTAAAAACCAATGACCTAGGTAAATTGAAAATAAAGGATGGGAAAGACAGTTTTTAGACATTAATTTCAAAATAAAACACAGAACTGAGCCTGTCAATTTCAGATAAAGTGGACTAGAACAAATAGAATTACTATATACAAAGAGGAACATTGTATAATGTTAAAAATATCAATGGCCCAAGAAGACATCAGGATCCTAAATGTGTATAGGTACACACAATAGTCTCAAAATACACAACTACTGATAGAGCTGAAAAAAAGAAAAAGACAAATCCACAATTTATCACTGGGAAATTTAAAACATCCTCTCAATAATGGATCATACTACTAGACAACAAATCAGTGAAGACATCAGTGAAAACCGGAAAGCTCAGCAATGAATAGGATCTGACTGTCACAAGGAATATCCAGGCAATAACAGTAGAATGCGTATTTTCTCAAGTCCCTATGAAACATTCACCACTGTACACTATGTCCTAAACCATAAAATTACTCTGAGCCTATTTTAAACTTTTTAACTTTTAACCAGATGCAGTGACAAACACCTGCAATCCCAGCAACACAGGAGGCTGAGGTAGTAGGATTGCAGATTCAAGGCCAGCCTCAGCAACCTAGCGAGATCCTGTCTCAAAATAAAAAATAAAAAGACTGAGGATGTAGAGTGCCCAGTGTTCAATCCTCACTACCACAAAAAGTAAATAAATAAGAAAATTTTATATAATATGTTTCTAATTAAAATGGAATCAAATGAAATCTGTAACCGAAAGACGAGAGATAAACCTCCAAACACTTGGACATGAAACAACACATTTCCCCCAAATCCATGGGTTAAGGGAAGTCTCAATGTAAAATTTTAAAAAAGAGAACTGAATGAAAATTAAGACATATCAAATATATAAGAGACCGCTAAAGCCATGCTAAGAGAGAACCATACAGCATCAACTGTTTACAGTAGAGAAAAAAACAATGTATTTTTTTTTTTTAAGAGAGAGAGCATTTCAGTATTTATTTTTCAATTTTTTGGCGGACACAACATCTTTGTTTGTATGTGGTGCTGAGGATCCAACCCGGGCTGCACGCATGCCAGGCGAGCGCACTACCGCTTGAGCCACATCCCCAGCCCAACAATGTAGGTTTTTACCTCAAGAAATTCGAAAGAGGAGAGCAAAACAAACCCAAACAAGAAAGAAGGAAATGATACAGATAATAGCAGAAAAAAATCAAACTGAAAATAGGAAAACAACCAGGAAAAATCAATGAACAAAGAGCTGATTCTTTGAAAAAAAATCAATAAAATGGTTGTATCTCTAGCAAGTCTAATAAATATGGAAAGAAATGAGCAAAAGATACAAACCTTCAGAGCAAATGATGAAAGGGATTACAACACAGAAAGTGCAACCTTTAACAGGATGACCCAGGAAACTACAGACAACTTTATGCTCATAAATTTCATAACTTAGAAAAAATTCCTTAAAAGCCACTAGCTATCAAAATTCGGTCAAGATTAAATAGATAGTCTGAATTGTCCTACAACCATAAAGAAATTGAATTCATAATTTAGAAGCTTTTGAAAGGAAACTTAGGTCTGGACGAGTTCACTAGAAATTTCTACCAAACATTTAAAAAGCTAGCATCAATTTTATACACTATATTCAGAAAACAAAAAAGGAGAGATTCCTTTCCAATACATCTTGTGAAGCTAGTATTACCATGATATCAAAACCAAAGATAGTAGCAAATATTAGTAAATCAAACCTGCTACTGTGTGAAAAGAATCATACATTGTGATTCATCAATAAAATTCATCACATCAGCGTGCTAAAGAAGGAGAATCGTATGATCCTGTCAATCTATGCAGGAAAAAAAATTGTTTGGAAAAAATGTCCAACCCCCAGCTGTTTTAAAACATCAAAGGTTTTGACAAAGGTTTTGTGCGAAGTGTACAGTATAAGTAGAGGTTATTGTTTTGGGCTATGAATGTCCAGTTGCTCCAGCAGCATATTTTACAAAGGTCAGCTTTCCTCCACTGAGCTGCTTTTACGCCTTTGTTGAAAATCAGTTGAAGAGTGTTTGCTTTGGCAGCACATATACAAAAATTGGGCAATAGAGAGAAGACTAGCCTGGTCTCTGCTCAAGGATGACATTCACATTCATGAGATGTTTCATTTTTTTTTTTTTTTTTACATTTGAATCAGATGGGATATAATTTCTCATTTTTCTGAGTTTATTTTTTGTGATACACAAAACATTCAATTTTGCCATAGAATTTGAAAAAATAAAGCATAAAATTATCATAAATAGCTGTGAGTGGGTATAAGGTATAAAAGCAGTTTGACATTAATATAAAATCGTGACGAGTTATATAAAGACACTGATTGTTTTAGAAACCAAAGTTAGTTCAGTTTAAAAAATAGTGGAAACTAAGTACTTTATACTGTTTCTTTATATTGTTTTTAAGTACCTTTATATAATCAAAAGTAATGACAAAATCGACATAGAAGATAAAAAAGGTAATAGGCAGGAATAAAAATTTCACCATATAAATTTATGAAACACAAATTAAGGGAGTTTAGTTAATAGTAGACAATACTATAAGACAAAACTGGTAAAGCTACAGTAGTAAGTTCTTCCTCATTAGTAATTTAAGTATAAATAAACTATTATGTAACACTAATCAGAACACAAACATGACCAAGAAGATTAAACATAATAATAGGTTAACTATGTCAGATCTAAATCAATGGAAGATTCTCTTTAGATCCATGGTCACAAATAGACTAAAAAAAAATGGATGAAAGATATATTACATTTAAAATTGTAAAAATGATAATAAGTATATAAAATACACAAAGTAAAATATTATACAAAGATAAATATAGCCAATCCCTAGAAAATAATACGATGTTTCATATTTTTAAAAGAAGAAAGAAATTGTCATTTGCTGGTAAATGAATGGAACTGGAGAGCATCATGCCAGATAAGCCAGACTCAGAAAGTCAAGGGTTAGATGTTTTCCATCTTATATGGAAGCTAGAGAACAAATATAAGCAAGGTGTCTCAATAAGAGAAGGGAGGCCAAGATTACAGAAGTTGTGGGGAGAGGTTCAGCCCATCCTTGGCTGACTAGTCCTAGCTCTAGGCCCAAGATGAGGCAGAACATCATGGCAGAAGGGTGTGGTGCAGGAAACTAGCTCCAGACATGGCAACCAGGAAGCAGAGAGACCTCTGCTCACCAGAGACAAAATATAAACTGCAACACCTATGTCCCCAGTGACCTGCTTTCTCCAGCCACACCCTACCTGCCTACAGTTACCACCCAGTTAATCCATATCAGTGGATTAATCTACTGGTTAAGTTACACATCTCATAATCTAATCACTTCACCTGTGAACATCCTTGCATGGTCTCACACATGAGCTTTAGGGGAACACCTCATGTCAAAACCATAACAATGTGTAAAATACAAAATTACAAAGATTTAGAAAAATAGAGAAGAAAATCTTTGGAATGTAGAGCTCTGAGCCAAGAGTTCTTAGGCCTAATACCAAAAGCACAATCCATAAAAGGAAAGATTGATAAATTGGACCTTGTCTTAGCCTACTTAGACTACTGTAACAAAATACTAGGCAGTAAGTGTCTTCAACAACATTTATTTCTCACAACGCTGAGGCTCAGAAGTTTCAGACCAAAGTGCTATCATTGGTATCTTGTGAAGACCTGCTTCCTGAGTTAAAGGCAACTCCTCCTGTCTGCATGCTTACCTAGCCTTTCCTCAGAGCATGCTTATGAAGGAAGAAAGAGACAGAGACACCTGTCCTCCTTTTAAACAGGCACCAATCCCATCATGAGGCTCCTACCTTCATGACCTGATCTAGACCATTTTAGTTCTAAAACCTCGTTTCCTAATCATTGCATTGGTATTGGTATTAAATCAACATACAAATTTTGAAGTGACCCAAACAGACGTCATCAAAATTAGAAACTTTTGCAACATAAAAGCACATGTGAGCCAGGTTCAGTGGCACACATTTGTAATCCCCGCAACTCAGGAGGCTCAGGCAGGAGGAGCACAAGTTCCTGGCCAGCACATTCACTTAAAGAGACCCTGTCTAAAAATTAAAAAAAAAAAAAAAAAAAAGGACTGTGTCTTACTGGTGAAGTGCCCATAGGTTCAATCCCCACACAAAAAAAACACACACATGTGAAGCAGATGAAAAGATAAGCTGCAGACTTGGAAGAGGAAATTTTTGTAGGCCATATTCTAACAAAGGGCAAATATCACATTGTGAAAACCTCCAAAAACTCAACAGGGAAAAATAAAGTCAAAACAAACCATTCCAGTTAAAAACTGGGCAAAAACACAAACAGATGTTTTACTGGAGAGACACATGAAAGATGTTCAATAATATTAACCATGAAGGAAATGCAAATCAATAAGATATTACTACACACCTATGAAATTGTTAAGTTGAAGGAGAAAAAAAAATAGTGGTAATAGTAAGTGTTGGCAAGGACACAGAGAAAGTAAATATCTAGGGAAACAGTTTGGCAATTATTAAAAACTAAGCATGGGACTACAACACAATCCAGAAGTTGTTTCTTGGATCCAGTCTGTTCTCAGATACATGCTTTGTAGATATTTTCTTCCCAGCCGTGCTTTTTCTGATTATTATTTTAACAATGTGTTTTGATGACAAAATGTTTTTGTTTTAAAGTCTAATTTACCTGTTATTATCTTTGATGAATATTCCTTTATATACATTTAGAAACTTTGTCTAACCTAAAGTCAAGAGGACATTCTTTTATGATTTTTAAGCTATTATGATTTTAGTCTTTTGTTTAACAATATGGTTCATATTAATTTTTGTGTATGGTGTAAGATAAGGGTCAAATTTCTATTTTTCCCCAAGAAAAGTTATCTATTTATTCCAACACTATTTGTTGAAAATCTTTTTCTTCCATTGTATTGATGGCTTTGGCATCTTTGTTAAAAATCAAACAGTGTACTTTTAAGTTCTCTATTCAATTCTAATGATTTTCAATCCATATGCTAGAACCACAGAATTAATATAATTTTATAATGAATATTGAAATCAGGTGCAGTAGCTCCTCCAACTTTGTTCTTTTTCAAAGTCATCTTAAAAATTCTAGATCCTCAGTATTCTTGTGTAGATTTTAGAAATAGCTTGTCTGTTTTTACCAAAAAAGAATTGGCATGATTATGATTATAATAAATCTATAGTTTGGGCTGCCATTGTGGCTCAGTGGTAGAGCACTTACCTTGCAAGTGTGAGGCACTGGGTTCAGTCCTCAGCACCACATAAAAATAAAATAAAGATATTGTGTTCACTTATAACTAAAATTTTAAAATAAATAAATAGATCTATAGTTCAATTTGAAGGGATTGACATATTTATTATAGACTGAGTCATTGAATCCATAAGCATGATATATACCTCCATTCATTTAGTTCTCTTAATTTTTGTTAGCAATGGACTATCATTTTCAGGGTAGAGATCTTGCATATCTTTTGTTAATTTCCTAAATATTTATATTTTTGATGCTGTTGTAACTGAAATTGTTTTTATAATTTATTTCTAATTGTTTGGTACTAGTATATACAAAAATACAATTATTTTTATGAAAAAATACTGTGTTTTTGTTATGTTAAATCATTTTTGCATTCCTAGGCAAAATTCTGCTTTGTTATGATCTCTTATACCTTTTATATATTGCTATATTCAATTTGCAATAGTTTTTTGAAGATTTTGGAGAAAGTTATTTTTAAACCATCATAATGGAATTTAACTGTATTAGGCTTGAGTTCAAACCCACTGAGACCATGTAATACAGTTCTTCATTGGCATTAGTAACTAACCTCCCAGATTGAAAGTTGTTATATCTTTTCGTTGACTTCTGCTCAATGTTCAAGATGAGAAAGATTTTTGGATATCCATTATAGTTGTTAATCAGATACCAATGAAATTAATCGTTAAATGTATTTCTCATCTTTTAGTTAGTTCCATCATTTAATTTTAAATAAGTTTAGTCATAATTCAAATCATTATTCATAAATCCATGCTATGAGTAAAAATCTTAAAATTATTGAAGCATTGATTGGTAGTATTTTTCTGATACAATGCTTTTATGCCTGGAAATTAACATTAATTAATTTTTTTTTCTTTTTTTGAAATTTTTTTTATTGGTTGTTCAAAACATTACAAAGCTCTTGATATCATATTTCATACATTAGATTCAAGTGGATTATGAACTCCCATTTTTACCCCAAATACAGATTGCAGAATCACATGGGTTACACATCCACATTTTTACATAATGCCCTATTAATAACTGTTGTATTCTGCAACCTTTCCTATCCTCTACTATCCCCCCTCCCCTCCCCTCCCATCTTCTCTCTCTACCCCATCTACTGTAATTCATTTCTCTCCTTGTTTTTTTTCCCCATTCCCCTCACAACCTTTTATATGTAATTTTGTATAACAATGAGGGTCTCCTTCCATTTCCATGCAATTTCCCTTTTCTCTCCCTTTCCCTCCCACCTCGTGTATCTGTTTAATGTTAATCTTTTCCTCCTGCTCTTCCTCCCTGCTCTGTTCTTAGTTGCTTTCATTATATCAAAGAAGACATTTGGCATTTGTTTTTTAGGGATTGGCTAGCTTCACTTAGCATAATCTGCTCTAGTGCCATCCATTTCCCTGCAAATTCCATGATTTTGACATTTTTTAGTGCTGCGTAGTACTCCATTGTGTATAAATGCCACTTTTTTTTATCCATTCATCTATTGAAGGGCATCTGGGTTGGTTCCACAGTCTAGCTATTGTGAATTGTGCTGCTATGAACATCGATGTGGCAGTATCCCTGTAGTACGCTCTTTTAAGGTCTTCAGGGAATAGTCCGAGAAGGGCAATAGCTGGGTCAAATGGTGGTTCCATTCCCAGCTTTCCCAGGAATCTCCATACGGCTTTCCAAATTGGCTGCACCAATTTGCAGTCCCACCAGCAATGTACAAGAGTACCCTTTTCCCCACATCCTCGCCAGCACTTGTTGTTTGACTTCATAATGGCTGCCAATCTTACTGGAGTGAGATGGTATCTTAGGGTGGTTTTGATTTGCATTTCTCTGACTGCTAGAGATGGTGAGCATTTTTTCAT